CGGTCTATTGGAACACTTAGAGATTGAGGGTGTTCTATAAACCCAATTTTGTTGTAATGATTCAATTTCAAAAGCATCAAACCATGTATAAGATAACCCAATCGTATAAATTAAGATGTATGCATCGTCCATTATCCCTATGGTTAGTAAGAGTACGTGGATAAGTTGCATTGGTGTATACTTTTTTTTCCGGTTTCAGATCTCACTCCACCTAAAAAGCACATATACGATGTTTACATGTAGTTATTGGCTATAAAAATTATTGTCTTAGTTTGTCAAACTAAGGGGTTGTTTGGCAGTTGCTGAATAGTTTGGTACAGAATGATTAAGAGACTTTCATGATATAATGCAAAATGAAATATAATTGTTTGGTAATTGTTTACAATGAAATCATGACAACTTAATGGTTAAGGGAGGCTCAGGATACAAAATCATTCAGAGGCTTTTAGAACCATTAAGATACATACTCTTTTTTTGTCAAACAAGATTCACCTCTTAATGATTCAGATGTTGCTTCTTAATGGAACTATTAAGAGATAAACAAATTCAAAATGACAACTGAAACGAATTCTAAAGCAGAATTAAGTACATGCTTCAGCCAATAACAATTTAAAGATGGAAACTTTGCATCCCTAAATTCACATATGAATATATGGATCTTGACCAATCATTCCCAAATCAATTCAAGAATGTGAATAAGCTAAGTGGTCTTAATACTTACCATCTTAATGATTGATCACATTAAGCATATAGTATATTTAAGAAAAGACTTGATATGGAGAAACTAAAAGTTGGGGAACATATTGAATCTTTTGCAATGACTTTGAGCTAAGAGAAAATGGTCATTTTTAGTGACCTACAAATCTTTTGACAAGAACCCATTACCATAATTGCCCTTTTGTTTAATCATCATTCTTTCGATTTAATATATACTTTTGTTCCATTCTTTCATTCACTATTTCTTGCTTTTCTTTTCTCTTATATTCCATTTCTGTTGAGGAAAAAGCAAGGCTGATAAGACGTTGTTTGTTGAAGACTGACACTCAATCATAAACTAATTATGTTTAAAGTTCGGTTTTTGATGTTTGGGTTAAATGGGTATACGAAAATGATTGAGACTCAGTTGTAAACAGATACTATTTCCGTCATAACAATTACTCCGTGAGTATATACAGAGTAATTGTTATGACATGACTATAGAAGTATTGGTAATTCTAATGAAATGAGAACCATTAAACGATTGAGAATCACGAAAACCAATAAGATGTTGAAAACCGCGGGAATTCCCACTAATCATGTGTTGTTTAAATTGTGAAACAATGCATGCAGAAATTACAGTATTGTTTTGCAATGTATAACAAACAATACACATTGTGTCATAATATATATATATATATATATATATATGTATGTATGTGTGTGTGTGTGCATAATTATTTATAAACTCAATAAATGATACAAACTAATAAACCAGTTTTCATATGTTGTTTCATATAATAACACGTGTGAAAATACAGCATCTGTATCGTTTCATATGTGAAACACTATATGAAAAATGTTTCATAAGTTTGTAAATGATTGTTTGTGTGTGTATATATATATATATATATATATATATATATATATAAAATATTTAGTAGAAGAAAGAGTGTCACATAATTGTGACATTATTGTTTCCAAGTGGTTGCTTTATTGTGCTGTAAAGAAATGTTGGAATGCCTCATCAACTTTTGACCATGCAACAACCACCATAAACCTTTACATTTTTTCCATAGTAAAATATTAATATATATATATATATATATATATTATAAAACAATATGTAAAATTAATAATCCACAATGAGGATATATAAATCACAAATAATGAATCAGAAATATATGGAACTCCAGTAAATTACTCTGTAGAAGAGTTATTAAAGAGAGAATCAGTGTTTTGACAGACACGGAGGAGAAGAAATGGTCCAATTTTAGTCGATGTGAGACTCTGACATGTTCTCTCCAACAGAGGCTAGACAGGTGAAGATGTTTTATATGATAGACCTGAGCATGTGAGCGTATGTGGAATCGTATTAGATTAGTCTTCAAAAAAAAATCTTGAGGATAGATGTGGGACTTTTTTTATTAACCTGGATATCCAACCCGCTATGTGAGCTGACTAATCCCAGGGCGGCCACCTGCTTTGCAGATAGCCCGGATTCACCGCATTTGAACCTGACACAACAGGATTTTTATTTCTCATTGGATTTAAACCTGAGACCTCCTCGTATGCACACAAGGTGAGGAGATTGTGAAAACAATATAAACACCTTAGTTGAGTGTTAACAAGTGGTATTTTTAGATTTGGTTTTATTGATTTAGTTTGTGTTCACAATATGTTCATAAGCTACAACGAATCTCATAGATTCAGAGTGTGTTAACAATACTATAACAGAAAATGTTCACAATGTGTTCAACTTAATTAAGTTCATGTAAAATTATATGCGTGCATGTGTATGTTATGAAAAGATGAAAGAGGAGAGAAAAAAATATTAGAGAGGAAACCACCAGGGTGGTGCCTGATTGATTTGAGCTTGAGACTCCATAGGTCAAAAGTGCTTGGAGGTCTCAGGTTCAAATCCAATGAGGAATAAAAATCCCCTTGTGGCCATAGAGGTTCAAATGTGGTGACTTCAGACTATCTGCAAAGCAAGTGGTCGCCCTGGAATTAGTCGGCTAGCATAGCGGGTTGGATATCCAGGTTAATCAAAAAAAATTAAAGAGGAGAGATATAGAGATGTTTTTTCACGAATTAACAAGTTCTTAAAAGAAGACCATGTATACAAATATTATGCATGTAAACATGTGATTTTTTTTTAAAGACAAACAAATTTTATTACGAAACGAGCCAACAAGGAAACAAGAAAACACCTCATAACATTTTTTGCGAGAAGAAAGTATGGGTCAACAAACAGGGACCTAAACATCAACAACAACGAGAAGCAAAAAAGACAATACGAACAAAACAACCTGCGAAAGATCAAGAGAACCAACGAAGAACAGTCGAATGAGGACCAAGAAACCCCCCCCCCCAATAATACAGACAAAATAACCGTGATAATCGGTTTTTCAATTATAAAGCTCTGGGTTGTTTTTGAAAAATGGTGAAAAGTCGAGGGGGTTAATTTGTTTATATGCTTAATTCTTTTAAAAAGCTTCCACCACCTTTTAATTGTTATGGAGGAGTATATGAGGTATTTATTTTTATCTCATTGGTTTTGGGGAGTACCTGCTTTTAGAAAGTAAAAGGAAAGGTGAACTTTCTGTGTATGTGTTTTTAAGACCGGAAAAAAAGAGAACTTCTGTAATTTTGACTTGGATAATTGTTGTTGTTCATATTCATATCTTTATATTTGTGATCATAAGGTGAGTTATTTTACAAACTTTCCTTTTATGGTATTGAAATTAGAACTGTATGATTCTTTATATGAGGATGATATAAAACTGTTTTTGGATGTTATACTTAGCATAATTGTGGGATTTTGATTATGTTTATATCATGTGATTGTAATAAGGGTGACATATTAAGAATAGATGCATATCAGGATAAAGGTGGCATAATCAATGGAATGTAAAATATGGGTTTTTGATCAAACTGTTAACTGTTGTCGCATCTTTATGATGCGAGGACTTGGAGTTATCGCATCTATGTTATGTGATGACTTAAAGCTATCACATTCTTGTGATGCGAGGAGTTATGTTTGTCGCACCAGTGTGATGTGACAAGTTGATTTATCGCATCCTATTGATATGATAAGTTGGTTTATCACCCTCATGTGATGCGATGAGATGGGGTCCTCGCACTAGTGTATTGCGAGGAAATTATGTTTTCATTTATATGATGCGATGAGTTTTATCAGAATGTGTTAAATGAATTGTTTGGCTATTTGATGCGATAATTGGATAATGTTCCTTCATTTTGATGCAACAAAAGAGATTGGTTATATTAAAATGTTGAATATTTGTTACTAATAAAAATATGGGTTTATAAATGTGTTTGGTGATTATTGATCCTGTAATAGCCAACAAAAGGATTTATCAATAGACCTCAAGGTCGAACCCTCATTTTTGGTGTTTTGAAAATATACATTACAGGTCGGGCACAACCAAAAGATAAAGGAAAAGGGAAATTGTGAAGAGTTATATTTGTCTGCATGAGATGTTAGGATAACATGTTATCTGTTGTATTTGGGACACTTGTTATATATACAAGTTTTGTATAAGGGTTTTGTGGAAAGATTTGGTAGATACTTTGTAATGTAGCTTTTGTAAATAGTGGAACCAGTTATGTAAATTATATTTCTTGATATATTAAAAACATCGGTTGTTATCACATTTGCTCACTCATAGTTGGAAACCTTCCATGACAAGTTGATCATTTTAACGTGTTACATTTGAGTCTAACATTCAGGATTGGACTTGACGAAGATGATGCAAGAAAACTTGGAAGAGTTTTTACAACCTTATAGAAATATGGGTTTTGCACGATGAGAGCGACTTACAGTTAGCACATCGATACAGTATACGTGCTACATAGGAATAATGAAACATGCTCATAATATCGATAGATCATCAAAGCTTGGAAGAGTTGATAACAAATCCATCAACTATCACTATGGTCACTTCACAAAAACAATAAATACTTTCTGTGCGGTCGCTTTTAAGAAATGTGGCCACTATAACGTGTCCACTGACCTTTATTAGTTGTTTCAACGTGACTCGCATTGCCTCGTCAACTTTTGACCGTGCAACACCCATCATAAACTTTACATGATTTCATAGAAAAATGTTGAAAATAAATTAACACGATTTTTGACACTCCTTTTTTTTCTCTAACAGATGGTCATAACTTCGTCTGGATTCGAATCCTACTGAGAGGAATGTGGTTACCAACTAATCCTTTTGTAGTGGTGGATCATGTATGTGTTCTTAAGAAAAAAGAATTTGTCCAATTTTCGAGGTATCAAAATAGCATGGAAACACCTAAGAACTAAGCGCAATGTGAGTCCATTTTCGGCCTATTTGTTTCGTATGAGAAACCTATTTGACCATGGAGGTTCACCTGCAATAACTTCATGTTATTCGTGATTGACCCAGGTATTAGTCGGTGCGTATAAAATGACCAGATGCCAATGGTTAACAAAAAGAAGTTATATGAATAGCAGATAATATTTTTTCCTGCATTTTTGAGCTGAATTTCGGAACAGGAAACTTGATTGATCCCAGGACTCCAGCTCGAACTGAACTCTGAAAATATCAGTCTGACATTTCGTCGAACACTTGGTGTGTGTATTAACTTTAGTATTGCACGCTGGCAGTCCCAAGTTCTCGACGTGTAAACACCAGCAAACGCAGCACGGACCAGGAGAAAGTAGATCGATCTCTAGAAATCCCAACTCTATTTCTGTAAAATTGACACGGCTTGAACACGAACATACAAACAACAACAAAAACAACCCCATACGGCCGACCCAATAACTTCTAACAATATAGTTGTGAGCTGTGGCAGATTCAGAAACTTAGGGGTGTCAAAAAAATTCCAAAACTGAATAACCCACATGCACCAAAATGATTTCAAATTATAAGGGGTATATGGGATTGCTTATCCAAAACAACTTATGTTTCTTTACAAAAGCTCTTATCAACTTATTAGAAGTCAGAAGAGTTTAACTTCTTCAAAAACTTTTTATTACCCGTTTGACACCGGTATAAGTTGTTTATCCAAACACTCGAAAATGCTTATTACCAGTGCCACATCGGAATAAGTCAATAAGTTGTTTTTATAAGCAATCAAACACCCCCTAAGTATTTGGTTTTCGAGTTAAATAGTTCAATTAACATAATAATACCATATTAACAAATTCAAAGATCATATGATGACAACAATAGGAAATCTTCATGCCATCCATACCCTTTCGATAAACCCTAACCCCTCTTTTGCATTCCATTTTGTATACTGAACCACCTTCACATCCTCTTTTGCATTCTTCCCAATTCCTCTTCCTTCATACCATCCATACCCTTTCAACAAAGCAGGAGCAAATTCTTCAATCGACACATCATCAAACTCTTCCAAACCTCTATCTTCCGGCAACCTCTCCAGATCCCTTTTCAAATTCTTTAACATCAATTGATCAATCAAAGACGATGATTCAGAACCAGAACCTTTCTTGCAACGGAGATTGAGGCCTTTGATGATGTTGGGGTCGAATGGTTCGACGGTAGAGTTTGGTTCTACTTCGAATTCGAGATTTGGGTCGTCGGATTTGAAGGGCGGATCGGTATTTTCGGTTTTGTTTTGAGGTTTCCACTCGTTGGGAATTGGGGGGATTATTAATGGGGTTTTGGAAGTGGAATCGGCTAGGGTTTTGGATGGATCGAACTCTGTGACGAATTCCTTTTTTGCGGATTGATCGTGTTGATTCTGTGAAGAATATGAAGTGGATTTTGAGGGTTTGGATGAGTTATTTGATGATGAAAGAGAGAAGGAAAGTTTTTTCATGGTGCCTTGTGAGTGTGGAGGAAGATGAAGATGCGATGTTGAACAGCAAGGAACAAAAATCTTTATTTCATTGTTAAAAGAGGGTAAATTAAATAATGTATTTTAATTTGATTCATATTTTGGTGATATATCTTTAAAATTTTCGGATAATTAGTTGAAGTATTAACCGATTATCATGTTGATGTAACGAGTGATGTGGTATTCAACTAAGTATTATTTGTTGATATGGTTAGTAGAATGGATTTTTTTAATCTAAAATTAGTCTTTAACTGGTTATCTGAGTACTTAAATGTTTAAAATTTTACATTTTTAGTCTTCAACCAGTTATCTGGTTAATTAAATGTTTAAAACTTTACATGTTAGATATCAAAATGAAAGTTTTAAAAGTACGTTATCCAAAATATGAATCAAGTTAACGTACGTTACTTTTTCATGCAATTTGCTCTTATATATTTTACTATATATACCAAAAAGTCATATTTCTCAAAAAAAAAAAAAAAAGACATGCTACAATCATGTTCGGTATATTATAGAGCTGAGCTCAGAGTATTAGCTCATACTTATTGCTCGAAAAGTTCGATAAGAATTAGAGTCGAGTTTTTATAAATTAAATTGGATAAAAATTTGACTCGATCAACAATGGCGGACTCGTTATTTTTGTTGAACATATACATTTTCAAGATAAATCAAAGACTCGCAAAGTCGTTTGATATTTTTTTATACGAATTTCCACTGTTTTGAAAGATTTTTTTAAGTTATTTGGTTGATTCAAGCGACTTTTTTTTGTTTTTTTGGTTGATATTTTTTGTATTTTCTAATATCCGGAGTCGTTTGATTAGTGGGCGTTTCTTTTATACCCCAAAAAAAATTACTTGTGAAAATCAGTTGAGTAGGTGTACGAGACCCTGCTCGGCAGAGGCAAACCTATATTGAAGGACACGGTGGGGCGAGCCAACACTTCATTTTTTGTTGTAAGGGGAAAATATTACGTTTCTAATGAATGTCACTAGATTGTTTTGTTAGGTGTCATCGTATTATGTTTTAAACTGAAGTATTAGCACAAGACTTTAATGATAGAGATGGTAAATGTTCTTGCCTTTGTACAAAAGGCATGGGTTCGAGTACCACTGTTGTCGAATTTGTTGTTTTTTAAGTTAAATTTTTGTGTTCTTTTGTATACCTCTTGTTTTTTTAAAAATATATGTAAAAAGGACTATCTTTTTTATGCAAGGATAAGGAACCAACCAACATATCTTTATTAATATTATAAAAAAAAATTAGTTATTTTTATAGTCAAATTGCGTCACCACTTAGGGGGTATTTGGGATTGCTTAATTGAAACAACTTATGATTTTCTACAAAGGTCTTTATCAAACTTATTATAAGTTAGAATGGTTTAACTTATTCAAAAACTTCTTATTATTGGTTTGACATCGATATAAGCTGTTTATCCAAACACTCAAAAGTGCTTATTACCGGTGTCATACCGGAATAAGTCAATGAATTGTTTTTATCGGCTTTCATAGGCCTATCCTTGTTGATCAAGCACAAATCGAGTTCGAGAGGAAATTACTCGATAAAAAGTTTGACTCAATGAACTGTGTTAGAGACAAAGTGAGTTTACTAAACACTTACCCAATAAGCGTTTACCGATAAAAATTTAACACTATCATTTACTTACCGGGTAATATTTTAGTCCACCAAAACGGTATCGTATGCAACAATTTACCCGATAAGCGCTTACGTCACCTTCACTTATAGGACAAGACTCTTGGTTCTTGTCTTGCTCTTACCGGGTAAGATTCTTGGTCAACGTGACTTGGTGTTCACTTACCCGAGTAAGCGTTTGGTAAACGGTCCCGTAGTCATGTTGCGATTTTTAAACTCTAGGGGGTTAAGTGTTACATTTTAAAGTTAAAGGGGAAAACACATCAATTCTTTTGTACCCCTGAATCCTCCCCCTATAAAACTTCAGAGCGAACACAAACGCCTCAATTGCGGCACACTTGCAGAAACCAATGGCGAAATATGGCGAACTCTGGGACGATTCTGCTCTCGTCAAAGCTTTCGACGATGCTATTTCCAAATACAAGGTCTGTCTTTCTCTATTTCTTTCAAAAACCGTGAGTTGCATCTATCGGTATTGAGTTCTGTTTGAAATTTGCATCACTCTAGGCAGTAGCAGTAGAAAATCCATGGTGGAAGACCTTATTAATGGCAGGAAAATGACCTAGTTTTCTTGAAAGTCGGTTACATGTGTTCAAATGAGCATTCAAATCCATTAACTCATTTGAATTTGTTGTTTTGGAGATAAAAAAAAAAACTAGGTTTTGCGTCATACATTCAGTGTGTTGTTCACTTGAAAATGTGTATGTATTGTTCCAGAGGGATAATAGTTTACGGATCGATTAATTCCTTTCTGTAGATAAATACATGCGTTTGAATAATTTTGATAGTGTATGTTTGGTAGGATTGTCGGCTTAAGAAACTTATGCCTCTATCTGTCTATGCTCCAAAGGTTGACATAGTTTAAAAACTACCAATGATCCATCTGCAAAAGTCGAAACACAATCAGATAGGACTAATCAGTAAAATAAACTTGGTGATATCACCTGGCATTCTTAAGCAAAATAAATAAATTCGCCAATGCTAAGTAAGGTTAAGATTTTAATTTCTATCTATTTGACTATATTAAATAAGCATAAGCTCGAGCACCTTATAACAATCAACAATAGATATATGGTACAGCAAATTTATAGACTTTTAGCATACATAAACATAAGAGTTAACCAAAGGGCCTTTGGTCTAGCGGTATCATAGTATTTGGCCTCCTAGGAGGTCAGGGGTTCAAACCTCACTAAAGATGAGGGGGTGTGTGAGTTTATTTGTTGCATTTGCTGTATATAAATATTATATACTTCAAAAAGAAAAAACGTAAGAGTTAAGGCACAAGGGACTTTTCATTTGCAAACTACACCTCTTATGTAGCCTTCACCGAGCGCATACAGGATTATAATGTATAACTTTCATGTATCGATCCATGGGTTTAGCTATATACAACACGGTTTTGCAAGACCTACCAGATATTGACCTCATGTATCTTGGATTGGGTTACTCTGCGTTAGGATACTTATGAAGTCAAGTATAGTCTTGTTGTTGGCATATAATTCTTGAGGCAAATCTATGACAACCAACCAAATGTTACCACGTGGTCCGCCAAACTTATTGTGGTGTTTTTAGATATCGAATTAAAACGTAGTAAATGCACATTCTTTATCTGACTTTTCACAATGAATTGCCTCTATGTTCAGATAATGCATGGCAAAGGAGGGGACGAGGATTTGCTTAAGGAAGAAAAAATCACAAAAGGCACAGAAGAAAATGCACCTATCATCATGAATGGAAGTAATGAAGTTAAAAGGTATGTGTGTGTATCGAATGTCAGTATCTCTGTTCCTGAGTTTATCTTAATCGACTGTTTTTTGTTTATAGTGCGAACGTGGAGACAGACAATAAAACCACAGACATGACAAAGAACATAACACATACAAGAGAGGCTACAGATTCTTCAGTTGCTGAAAAATGTTCTTCGGAGGTCATTGACAAATGTACACCCCCATCAATTGTTGTTCAAGTTGATGCAGAAAGTGCAGAAGCTTACAAACGTTTACTCGACCAATATAACGCTGTAGAGGAACAAAGACAAAAACTTTTAGAACAATTTTCCCAATATGGCAATTGGGACTATCAAGGTTATGGTTATGGTTATGATTATGGTGCTGCTTATGATTCTCAATATCATCCTGTGCCTGCACCCCAACCTTCCGGCCCTCCCATATGTTCTTGTCGTCCCTATGTATGTCCATACTCAACTGCACCATGCACCTCCTTGGCTGCAGCTTCCTCTTGTGAAACTTGTGTTGGTAGTACAGCATTAGCTCATAGTGGAAGCCCGGCTCCTTTAGAAGATGGTGGTTTTATTAAAGCAGCAATGAGAGCTGTGGACCAAGCTATTCATTCATTTAACACACAAACTTCTGGTATACCTGAGGTAGATAAAGGTCGGTATGCTTTTTGGTGAATATTTTAATTTTGTAATGTATTAATATCCGCTTCTCTTGATTCTTGCTCAACTTGGGGAGCGTTTATGAACAAAAATTTGGTAGGTGCTAACCAGTAAGGGTGTGGTCTGGATAAGCGCTGATTGAGTAAGGAGCCTCGCCTTTCCTTCCATACCAAGTCAACATCTTGGTTAATGTCATTTGTTGGTCAGAGTGTATGGTAAACGACCTCACCTCTTACTGGGTAAACATCTCTTAGGGCCTGTTTATTAGTAGCTTAATCAGCTTAATGGGACTCGCAACTTATTTGGTCAGCTATACATGACTGTGGTAGTGGCTTAGAGAAAGTGGCTTATTCAGTAAGCTTCTAAAAGGATCTTTATGCAGAGAGCCAAGTTTTTCCCGAGCCAACCCCTCCAAATTAAAAAATACACTCCTTCCATCTATGAAAACCCCCTCTCAAACAAAAACCTTCTCAATTTATACAGACAGATTAATCCACACAGACAATTTTATCCATATAGGACGTAATGGAAAATCAACCAAACAACCACTTACCTAGTAAATGGCCCCTTTGTTTCTGATTTCTACTTTTATTTGATCAGTATTATGCATGTGATAAAGTAGCATTGTGAGTTGACTTGTGTATGATTTGCAGAGGGAAAGAAAGGCCAAGAAGTAGAGACGGGTTCAACAAACGTGGCACAAGACAGAACTTCTCAAACGGATCTTTCAGTTGTCTTAAATGCTTGGTTTTCTGCAGGATTCCACACCGGCAAGTAAGTAGTGTTGCATGCTCTTTTCATACAACCCCAGCATTTTATATTTCATCAATTATTACTTGCATGGACATCAATGATTACTTGCATAACCACAAGGGTGGTGTCTGATTGGTTTTAGCCTGGCTCCAAAGGTCAAAAGTACCTGGAGGTCCCAGGTTCAAATCCAATGAAGAATAAAAATCCCTGGCCACCCTGAAAATCTAAAACTCTTTTGGGTTAATACCACGAAAAGTTATTTGGTCCACTCATGTACCATCGAGTGAATATAAGTGTTGACCCTTCTACCATTAAATTTTATGTATTTTGCCACTATATGGCATAGAGGTACTAGGGTGTGACGTGAGTAATTTAGTAATTTACCAATCTTGTCACATATTTTTGTGGGACAGAAAAATTGCATTTTTATCACACTTGGATCTTGTCCTGTCCCGGTCTATTGTCGCACCTAACGTGTGACAACAAGTTTTTGTACAGTCCCATCATGTCCTACGTGCCAGACGCACCCCCAGGGTACAGGAACCAAATAAACAATTTTTATAATATGTGGTGCCCAAAATATTTTATCTGTTCATCAACCTCAACAAGCTTTTCACCCAAGCTATTTTGGGAAAATCTTAAAATGGTCAAACTTAAACCACAGTCAACACGCTCTTCCATTAGTAGGCATCTCTCCGAGCATGCTTCTATCAAGGTCTAGTGTAATCTTGTGTTCTTATATGTAGGTACCTCTCAGAACAGAGAAAACCGGCAGTGTCAACTTCATCTCCTCTTACAACCAGGGAGGAAATCGAGCGGGTTCCTTCCAAAGAAAACAGCACCGATTCAAGCTTTAAAGAGATTCCCAAAGGAAAGTAACCAGCGGTAGGAGCGTGTTGCAGCCGCTGTTCTCGGGAAAGCAGTCAACCAATGCAAGAAGCAATCTCCTGATTGTTTGTGAGTATTCGAGATTACCGATAGACTACGTTTTAATCATAATATCTTATATTCGTGATTTTTGCCAATAGCTGAGTTTTGAAGTAGCATCTAAAATTTTGATGTAAACTGAAAACAAAAATTTAATGACATGTTCGAGTAAAATAGTCTAGAAATACAAATTAACATTAGAATAAACCACTAATAGTAAAACATATCAAATGTATATGCATAACACATACCGAATAATGTTAAAACATATCAGACGCTTTTATAATCAAATGAAAATTTAAATTAGAAATAAGTAAACTATTCCTGGAAATACTAAGGGGCTGTTTGGCAATTGCTGAATGGTTTGGTGCAGAATGATTAAGAGGCTTTCATGATATAATGCACCAACATGAAATATAATTGTTTGGTAATTTTGTACAATGAAATTAGGGCTCTTAATGGTTAAGGGAGATCCAAGATACAAAACAATTCAGAGGGTATTAGAACCATTAAGAGGCAAACTTTTTTTTGCCAAACAAGATTCACCTCTTAATGATTCAGAGATTGCCTCTTAATGGAACTATTAAGAGGTAAACAAACAACCCCTTAAGCTTTACCATTCATACACCCAACATTTTGCTTAATTTCTTTAATTGTTAAACCAATTTAATCTGTTTTAAACGTTATTAGGTATGTGTTATGCATATGCATTTGATATGTTTTCACATTATTGGTTTATTTCAATGTTAGTTTTTGTTTCTGGATTGGGTTTTACTTTGTAAACATTTCATTAAAATTTTCTATTTCTGGTTTACATCCCACTACATTGTGCGGTACACAACTAGTATATATATATACTATTCCATCCTCCACAGCCCGGAAACTTAATTTTGTGTAAGACGAGAAGAATCTACGCTGTCTATGAAATCTAGTGTATGGTTAATCGTATGTCTATGTACGCTACTATGGACGTAATTTCATACCATTTGTATCAAGGATACAAATATGTGTTAGATTATTTCTCAACCTTTGTGGTTAGTTCTTTAAATCATGTGCTGCTTAGGGGCCGTACACCAAACGTTTACACGGGTAAGCGCTTACCAAGTAACATTACCTCACCGGATGAATATAGTAAGGACCAAGAGATCTCAGGTTCAAATCCAAGGAGGGAAAAAAATCCCCTTGTGGCCATGGAGGTTCAAATGCGGCGACTCCGGGCTATCTGCAAAAAGCAGTTGGAGCTTAGAGAACAATAAAAACATATTCGTCGTCTCTCTCCTATCTGTAGTAAAAAGCAGTTCTCTTTGCCGGCTGGTTGGAGCTTAGATAACAATAAAAACGCTATTTTAACGTATAGTTGGAGTTGCTCTTATAATATATAAGAAACAAGATTTTTATACTCACCAAATAAAATTTATATAATGGGTACTGATAATGCTCTAACAAATTTTGATATTATACCAAAAAAAACAACGTATTAACGGTTGTTTTATAAAGTTCATGTAACAAATATATTGAAAGAAATACATATATGTCAAGGCTTCGACCGAGTTCACGAGGCACTGCTACTTTTTTTGAAAAACAGTTATATTCGGAGACAATTATCGATTCAAAGTTTTCTCTAAAACTTTCTATTTTTGTTTATAGAAAAGGGTATATCATCTCTTTCTGAAACAGAGAATGGTCAAAAATCAGTTTTCAGGTTGGATTTTGAGTCGATCCTTCTAAAATCGGGCCATATCGTAGGACTGATCCTAGGCCTAGTAACTGGGTCCTAACTCGGCCGGTTTTTAAAAAATATATTCTTTAAAAATCTTTTTACACAAAGGTTAATATATTGGAGAACGGGTCACTTAATTAACATTAAGAACTTTTCGTACTAACGGAGTATTTACAAGGGGTGTTAGGAATATTTTTTTAATTATGATTTTTGAAATTTAGTATTCTAATACATTTTAAAAATACATTTATTTGAAAAAAGTGTGGAAATCTTGTACAAAACTTGAAGAAGAAAAAAAACATCAGGGGTTGTTTAGCAGTTGCTGAATGGTTTGTTATAGAATGATTAAGTCGTCAGAATGATTAAGAGGCTTTCATGATATAGTGCAAAATAAGATATAATTGTTTGGTAATTGTTTACAATGAAATTATGGTGCTAAATGGTTAAAGAAGGTTCATGATACAAAATCATTCAGAAGATTTTAGAACCATTAAGTAATAAACATTTTTTGTCAAACAATATTCATCTTTTAACGATTCAGATATTGCATCTTAATGGAACTATTAAAAGGTAAACAAACAACCCCTCAGTCATATACATAACCAGTCCCAAACCAAACCTTGAAATTCCATAAAAACTTATATAAAAATCATTAATAATGATGCAATAAAATAAATCCATGAAACTTGTTACCATTTGCATTCCCGTGCTCATTTATCATACTCCTTCCCATTTAAAAATAAGAGGTTGTTAGACAGTTGTTGAATGATTTGGTACAGAATGATTAAGAGACTCTCATTATAAAGTATAAAATGAAATATAATTGTTTGGTATTTATTTACAACGAAATTAGGACGTTGAATGGTTAAAGGAAACCCATGATACAAAATCATTCAAAGGGTTTAAAAACCATTAAGAGACAGACTTTATTTACCAAACAAGATTCACATTTTAACGATTCAGAAATTGAATCTTAATAGAACTATTAAGAGGTAAACAAATAACCCCTAAAAAAGCATCAAATGGAGAAAGTTCATTTAAATATATATCAAGAGCTCTAATTCTCAATTACAAGCCTTCATAATGCATCTTTGTATTGCATATCATGCAGTAATTACTCGTTACAACTTCGTATATCGATATGCTATACGATATATCTATATATAATTATATATACGCATCATCGACTATGCCACGATCGCACCCGCTTACACTTTCACACCACCGGCAGCTTCCTTGATTTGGTTGATTGTAAAAATGCCAAAGAAATCGTCATCTTTTACTGCATTTACTGCAGCCACTGCAACATCATCGACACAAATAGGAGGAGCTAAAACTCGATCAACGGCTGGTAGAGAACTCAGAGGTTTGGTGAAGCTTGTCGTGGCACGGATAAATCTTTCAAGCGGTTCGCCTATCAAATCGAGCGGGATTTCGTAATCGGCCATCTTTCTTTTTCCTAATACTCGTTTAAGTGGTAATATCAAACGTTTATAAGGTGAATAAACGACACTTTATGTGTTTAAGTGATAATATCAAACGTTTCAAACCGATGTACGACAAGAACTTTNACGCATCATCGACTATGCCACGATCGCACCCGCTTACACTTTCACACCACCGGCAGCTTCCTTGATTTGGTTGATTGTAAAAATGCCAAAGAAATCGTCATCTTTTACTGCATTTACTGCAGCCACTGCAACATCATCGACACWAAYAGGAGGAGCKAAAASTMGATCARMGGCTGGTAGAGAACTCAGMGGTTTGGTGAAGCTTGWCGTGGCACKGAKAAATCTTTCAAGCGGTTCGCCTATCAAATCGAGCGGGATTTCGTAATCGCCCACCTTTCTTTTTCCGTATATGAATCCAGGTCTTAATACAACACCTGCGTTAAGTAAAATCTCTAGACTTGATCAAGTTTCCTAATACTTGTTTTCTTGAAAATCGACACTTTCCTTTTATGGAAAGATTCGAAACCAACTTACGGATTTGATCGTTAAATCAATACAGAAAGAGTCATTTATTTTGTCGTTATTGAAGAGTATTTTTGCATACCGCAACAAAGAGGATACAACATTTGACGGGATGTGTCCACATTTTTGTTTTAGTTTGTTCCAAAATAAGGGGTTATTTGGTTGGTTTTCCATTAAGTTCTGTATGGATAAGCTGTCTGTGTGGATTAATCTGTCTGAATAGAATGAAAAGGTTTTTATTTGGGAGGGTTTTCTTCATAGATGGAAGGAGTGGTTTTTGATTGGGAGGGGCAGGTTTGGAAGAAAAAAAACTTGACTTTCCGCATAAAGCTCTCCCCTAAAAGCTTACTGAATAAGCCATATTCTATATCATTTAAGTCACTACCAAACAATCATTTATGGCTGACAAAAAGTTGTAGGTCTCATTAAGATGCTAACAAACAGGCCCTAAGTGTCCACTTTCAAAAGTAAGTCCCTAATTTCCAACTCAACCTTTAATTATGAGATGGAGAAATCTTTTACTCCTATGATTAAGGGTAAAATCATCATTTAGTTAATGGGCAAAATGTGCAAAATAGAAATTTGCTATCATAAATTTCCTTATTATAGCATTGTCCTTCCAGTTTTTCTTATTACAACAATGACCTTTCAAATTATTTTAAAAATGAGGTGGCACATTATACTTTAAAATTTTTAACCATTATAGCATTAGGTAACCTTTTGATTTAAATTTACTCATTATACCAAGTCTCCATGCCACCTCATTGTCCACATAGATTGTCCACATGTACTAGTGATGTGACATTTCTTATTACAACATTGTACTTTCAAAATTATTTTATTATAGCATCTATTAGTTCTTACTACAACATTGTACTTTTAATTTTAATATTTTATTATTTAGATATTGTACATATTATTTAATAAATATATTAAATGAATTAAAAAATTTCTAAATTATTCGTTAATATATTAATATTAATAAAACTAGTAAAACACGATTTATCTCACTGATATTTTTTAAAAATATGTATTTTTTGAAAAAAAATAATGAAAATTGTTATTTTTTTACCAAAAAATATCATCTTTTAAAGAATATATTATACTTGTTTAAAAAAAATTACTTGACGTATAAATATATTAAATTAATTAGATTTTTTTGAATTATTCATTAATATAACAATATTAAAAAAATTATACATAACAATTTATCTCGAACATCTTAAAAAGAACTTTAAAAGATATGTATCTTTTTGAAACATAAAATAAGAAGTGTTACCTTTAAATAGTTATCTCGAAGATAATATATCATATTTATTTAAGAAATATTTTACTCCAGAATATTTAATTTGCATGCAATTTAATAAGAAAAAGTCAAAAAATTAAATGTTTTTTTTAAATCATAGCAATGAAAAATGAAAATCATAGATAATAATTTAAAATAGGTTTTCTTTTTGCTTGTTATTTTAGTCGACGTCATCCACATCACCTCATTGAATCCAAACAAGTAAAAAAAAGTAAAAGGGTTAACCGATTTAAAAGGTAACAGGTTAGTCATTGCTATAACGAATAGATTTTCAAAGTACGATGCCGTAATGAAAAAATAATTTTAAAGTACATTGTTGTAAGCCTGTAATAAGAAAAAATGAAAGTAAAATGCTATAGTATAGAAATTTGTGAAAATAGGTTGCTATTTCATGCATTTATCTCTTAGTTAATTAAAAAAAGTGCATTAGTCACGTATTTCTAAAATTATGTCTTTTCTATTGTGGACATCTAGTTTAGAACAGAGATCAATGCTATCGACATATCGTTACAACTATTGACGGGCAAATTGGTAATCTTGGATTCTTTTTGGGACCGAAAGCGTACCTTTCTCCATAATCTTCAAGTTAACAAAAGGCTAAATTACTAAAAAAAAACCCTAATAGATTACTCTTAAAAAAAAGGTTTAATGGTGGGGACCTCATGGCCCCGTGGTCCACATTTTGTGAACCCTATTTGCCATACCTCATAAGCAAGCACCGGAAAAGACAACATGTCCTCCCCTGGAAAAGAACCCGGGTGGGCACGCCCAAGGCAAGGCATTTATGGAAGGAGGTGGCCACTAGGCCAAGACCTAATGGTTTAAGCAAAAATCAGATGCCAAATGTGAAAAGATGGGTTGTGAATTACCAGAATTTGGGTATTTGGAAAGAACCTCAGATTCGGCTTTTCGCTTTCCTGTGAAGTACCCAGACGAAAGTAGAAATGACGGTATGTTATAGTCATGCACCGAGATCAAGATAAACTTCGGAATTCCTGCAAGAAAAATGGAGTCAATAAACTATTTGTATACTACTTCCTCAATCACAAAATAAGTGTTCATGTTTCTATTTCAGAGCATGTTTGTTAGTAGCTTAACGAGCTTAACGGGACTCACAGCTTATTCGGTCAGTTATACGTGACTGTTTGGTATTGGCTTGATAATATAGGAAGTGGCTTATGCGGTAAGCTTTTAAGGGGGAGCTTTATGCAGAAAGCCAAGTTTTTTTCCAAACTGTCCCTCCCAATTAAAAAATATGTTCCTTCCACCTATGAAAAAACCCTCAAAACAAAACCTTTCGCAATCTATACAGATAGATTCATCCACACAAACAGTTTTACCCATACAGGGACTTAATAAAAAACCAACCAAACAACCCCTTAGTGTGTCCCAAAATAAGTGTCCGCTTTCAAAAGTAAGTGCCTACTTTCCAGTTGTGTCCTTATTCATGAGATGGAGAAATTCATTACTCCCTCTATCATTAAGGGTAAAAATTGTCATATACTCCCTCCGGCAAAATAAGTTCCACAGTAGAAATAACACACAGTTTCAAACATGCATAATTATTACATTTTTTAGTTGACTAAATGACAACTTTACCCTTAATTAATTTCTCTCTCTTCGCAACTCTTAAATATTTGTGCATTAATAAAGGATAGATTTGAGAATTTAGTCATCTATTTTTGAAAATTGAAACAGAACACTTATTTTGGAACAAATATAAATAGAAATGTAGACATTTATTTTAGGACCGAGGGAGTAGTTGATTATAAAGTTCAATAATTAATCTCTAAAACTGTTTGCCTTTTTCATCGTTGACATTTATTCTGGAACGAAGGAATATTATCAAATTGCCGTTAAAGAGGCCAAAAAAGCTTAAAGTCATCAACAATATGTTACCAAATATGTGTCGGTCTCATGTTACCATGACACGGGAAAAAGTATCATACCATATTCCTTGGCAGCGGTTACAGCAATAACATTCGCTTCACCGTTGATTCGTTGCATTTGTTCCTCACTACCAAAGCCTCCTAGGGTTGAAATCACCGCGGTAGCACCAGGAAGTACCTCATCCCAATTTACATAGAAAACATCTCCTGTAAAGTTGAATAAATTTGTGGTCAACCAAAAAAGAACCCGAAAAGCACCAAACCAAACCCAAATGGACGGTTTATCCTTGAGGGTCAGCTCAACTGACAAATAAAGGCTAGACCTTGGAGCTTCTTAGGGCCACTGGGGATTTTACTGGCTATTATCTTCAGCGCCCCATGGGATTAATCAAACTACGTTCAAACTGGCCCAGACACCCACGGTTACCAGAGGAAGGGAAAAAAAACCCAAATGGACCAAAGGAGTGAGTACTATTGAGGGGTATTTTAGGTATTTTGCTTTATAGTCCCAATCTATGTTACTTCTCGATATTTCAACTGGCTGCTAAACTGCACCAGCCCTTTAACAGGGATTAATCTTTTCATTCATCTTGACTATTTATAACTATCTAAACTGATATAATCACTTGTTCAATGGCATTATAATCATTAGCATACCCGTGATCCAAGTCACCTGATCTTCCCATGAACTCAAGGTAGTCGGCCGTCCTGACCTGAAAAATTTGATTGAAACGCTTATAGCAATGGGTATCAAGCAACCTTTTAAACTATTTATCAGGTCATCTACTTCATTTACGTGACACAATTAGGGTTACGTGGCTGACAATGCGTACTAATTATTATATTTGAATAGACCCTTTACAATTAAATACCCGTTTTGCAATTTGAATAAGGAAGTCGAGTAAAAACCAAGATAAGTTGGCTAAGAGAAAGAGTTATAGATTAAACAATTTGATAAAGTAATTGGAGCACCTGCTTAGGCTTATGACTTCTATGCCCCTTGATACTGCAGCCTTGCATATAGCCGAACCGACAAAGCCACTGCCCCCCAACACTACAATCTGATAAAAGAACAAACCTTTATCTGCACGCTGACATAAAAATATAAAATGAAATGAAATAATTCATCAACGTGCTATATTCAGACCTTCTCAGCCTTGATATTTGCTTCAACATCTATGGTGACGGAATTGGTGTCCTTTATGCCTGCATCGGCATAGCTGCATTTGACACCAAACTTCAACAAGCTGCAAAAGAGCCATCTCATTAGACAATGTAAAGAACACACATTTGAAACTAAAGCAAATAACTTCTTGAATATATAATCAAATTGTGATTGTCTGCTTTTGAAACAGTAAACCAAACAAACCCAGTACATCCCACTCAAAAGTAGGGTCCGGAGGTCAAGGGTTATCAGTAGATCCCAACCTCCATGGATTAGCGGTAGATCCCAACCTCGAAATATCAATGTATGTTTCATGACAATGACTACTTTTCCAATAATGACACCATTTCCAAACATATCAAAAAGGAATAAAAAGAATAAAGGTACATTAGCATCCAACTCTGTGGTTTAGTCGGTGATTCCGTATAGAATTAAAGTGCAAGTAAACCAAACTACACGAAACCAGTATGTCCCACCCGGAGGTGGGGTTAGGGGGTAAGATATAGGCAGATTTGACCTCTACCCTAAAGAGTAGAGCGGTTGTTTCCATTACCTAACCCTGGCTCGGAACTATATCTTGGCCTTCTAGGTTGTCCAGTACATCTCATAAGTACAATTGAATAACAAAATGTTGTTCCCATATCAGTATCTACCGGTACAATGCCAAACCATATTACAAACAATATGAGTCGATATCATGATTACTTACCAACTTCGAATCTATAAGTGAAAACCCTTTATCTTTAGTGAACTAAAACACATTGATTCACAAATTTCACCAAACATAAACTTTTGACTTTTCTTGGGTAACCATGGGTGTCCGGGCCAACTTGCATGCATCTCAAGTAACCCCATTAGCCCAAGCCCTAGTTTGCTAGTTGAGCTGGCCCTCATGGTTCACAAACATAAAATTGATGCCAAACTTTCAGGTTCAATCAAACAACCTCGAAACCACTCATACTCCAATTAGCAATTCACTAACACCATGCCATAAAAAGCACACTTGACAATACTCATTGATTAGATCTACACCCACAAAGGATTTTGAGAAAAAACAATTATAATTTAGAAAAAAGTTGTAAACAAATTGCACCAGCATTGAAACCTAAACGAGAAATCGAGCTACGATTGGCAACACTTTTAAGTCAAAATTAAGTAACCTCAAAACAAGAAACATTACAACCTCCTCACTAAATGTTTCTTACAGAATCACACACACAATCCATCATGATAATTGATTCACTAAAAGCCCTAGAAAATCCACTACAGTTTTTTCACAAAAACATCAAGATTTAGGTTAATTACACCATACTTTGAGTTGGGTTACCATAAATTCAACACAAATGGGACTTCGTAAACGTACACGAAAACTAGAAGAAAAATACCCCCAACAATAATCTTTACAAAAACATCACCGATTCTAAGAAACATAATCGAAATGCATCTATTCATCAAATTTAACCACAAGCAAAAATGATGCCAGATTTTCAAATTACAAATCAAATAAACTCAATGAATACGACTATAGTTACTAAATCACTTTGACTATGCCATACACACCCACACCTAGCATACTCGTTGATTTGAAGCGACCCCTCTATAGATTTACAAAATCCGATACCAACTAATAGAAACTTGTGGTGAAATTGCATCAACATTCACGCAAAAACAACAAAGTGAGATAAGATTAGCCCCATCTAAAGTTGAACTAAGCAACCTAAAACAACAAACATTACGATTACTGCTCGGTTAATTTCTCCCACGCAATCCAGAATGTTAATTGATTCACAGGAACCCTAGAAACCCCACTATGGTTTTTCAAAAAAAACATCAAAAAATTAAATTTTAACTAAAATTCAGAGATGAATTCAACACAAAACGCACATACAGAGGGATGATGATAGAGAGCTGACCGATTGGTGTGAGAAATGGGGTAAGATACATGCGAACGGATGCTAGAAGGAAAGAGAGGTGTTGAATTTGGCGAATGAGAAGAAGGGAGTCTGGAAATGGGAGCAGCGTAAGATAGCGATGAAGACATCTTTGCTACCACTCCTGATTGAAACCAGGGTTCTCTCCTGTGTGGTGGTGGTGGTGGTGACTGATTGAAAGATTCATACAAAATAATCTCTATTTTAATTCGTCTAAAAATAAATAAATAAGTCCATGTTCTAAAGGGAAATTATCCAAAATAAGACGGACATAGTATGGTAGTTACATTCACACGTTCCGTCGTATTATTTCTTCGTCAAATAGTACAAAAATTTAGGTTCGTGAAAGTTGCAATCGTATTAATTTGTTGTGTGTTACTGTATATATTTTGAAACTACAATGAGAACAAGCTTTATTTTGTAGAGTTGGTTTTGCAAGGCTTTTATTTCATCATAGATCCAAGTTCGAATCTTGTTAGTGTCATTTTTTTAGTCAAATGGTGTCACTGTTTGGAAAAAAAAATCATATATTTGTTTCTTATAATCAAATGGTATTTTTTTTCTTATAATCAAATGGTACCACCATTTGAAAATATTTATGGGTTCGTCCTGCCCAAAATATTTTGTATACTGTACATTAACAAAATGATCATTTTTTAAAACTTTTTCACAAAATGACCACCAAAATTGCCTCCCGTGACGATTTTGACTATAAGGTATGGATGGGTCCCACATGTATACCATTTGGGAGGGAAAATCATATATTGTATCTGAAAATGGGAAAATCGCCCTCAAAAAGTGAAAATCGCCCCATGGGGGCGATTTTGACATCTATTTCGTCTTATAGTGAAGATAACTTATGACGCAACGATTTGACATATCAATGACGATTTGACGAGACATCATGTGCGATTTTCATTGGTATTTTATCTTTTTATGACCAATGTAAAGATATAAATCTTGTAGTATTCTCTATAAAATTGTAGTGATCCAAACATTTCTATTCTCACAACTCTTAACTCGCCACTTTGAACATACATGGAACCATCATCAATTTGATGTGATTTCATATTTGTGTTAATGGTGGTGATTTGTGTTCAAAGGTTAAGGGCTGCGAGAGTAAAAGTGGTTGGATTATTACAATTTTATAGAGAATACTACAAGATTTATATATATGCTACATTTGGTTCTAAAAAAGACAAAATACCAATGAAAAGCGCCCTCATGTCTCGTCAAATCGTTGCATCATAAATTGTCTTTAGAACTTCACTAGAAGACGGAATAGAGGTCAAAATCGCCCTCATTACGCGATTTGGACAAAATGAGGACGATTTCACATATATATATATATATATATATATGTGATTTTTGTTCCCCAAATGGCATACATTGTGTGACTCATCCATACCTTATAGTCAAAAATCGTCCATGGGCAATTTTGATGGTCATTTTGTGGAAAATCTCCAAAAGGTTGCCATTTTGTTAACGTACCGTGTATAAAATGGTTATTTTGGGTAATTTCTCTTTTATAAGTACACTATCCTAATTAATTGGAATTTAAAAAAAAACTTCCTACCATTAAGCGGTGTTTTTTTTATTTTTTAACTATTATTTATTTAATATTTTCTAACTCCGTCTATATCGTTCTCTTTCTCACCATTGCTATTTGCACATCTTAATAGAGGTGTTGAATGCATTGAAAATTGAAATCTTAAAAGTCAACGTTTTTGGGTCAAGTCCGTAACCATCGGTCCACAATTATTACAGATTCGACCCAAAACTCATTTTCCTATGAAACCACCAAGGCAGACACTTACAGATCTGTCCTCATGGATTCAAAAAAAATGGGTTTTGGACCAGATCCGTGATAATTACGAACCTGAGCCAAAAAACTCTAGCATTTTGTCATTTACTGGACCCGTAATAATTGCGGACCTAATGATTTTTGGGTAAAGTCTGGAAAGAAATGGTTAAGAAGTCAATTTGGCTGTGGAATATGTTCATTTAGGTCGAATTCTCTTGATTTTTACATTTTATAACGCTTATAGATTTTCATTTATATTCTTTTATTTCTATTTATTTCATTTTCTTTATCTAAAAATACGTATTTATATACAAATTATACCATTAGAAATATCTGGTCTATATTGAATATTTTTTAAATTAATTAATATATTTTAAGTTAATACATTTTTATTGTATTTTAGCGTATACATTTTTTTTTTCCAAAGTGTAACAAACCTAAAGTTTGTTAATTAAGAGAGCATTATGCAATTTTTGAAAAAGGATGATTAATGATTTTCGTGCAAAAGACGTAAATACTATTTTTAATGCTTTTTTAACTCTTTTTTATACATGAATATCATGTGAATCGGGTTTTCCGCATTAAATGTCCATCAAAAAACAAATTGTAAGTGAAGTGTTTGATCACACACACGCATATACGATGAATAAATGACGGTTTATGTGTTTGAGTGGAAATATCAAACATTTGAAACCGATACATTAATAAATTTGACATTTGTTAGAAACATAACTTTCTTAAGTATTAAAAAACCAAACCACAAGGGTGGTGTCTGATTGGTTTGAGCTTGGCTCCAAATGTCAAAAGTATTAGGAGGTCCCAGGTTCAAATCCAAGAAGGAATAAAGATCCCCTTGTGGCCACGGAGGTTCAAATACGGTGACTTCGGGCTATCTGCAAAGCAGATGGTCGTTCCGGGATTAGTCGGCTCGCATGACGGATTGGATATCCAGGTTAATAAAAAAAATCGTCATGAAAAAGCATCTCAAAAGTTGATATATAAATTTGTATTATAAAAGCCTGAATGGGTCTCAGAGTGTGTGATGAGCTTTTTGGTATATAAATATTATATATGCTATTTTTTTATAAAAAAAATAGGGCCTGGAAGGTGTGATATCCGTATATTGTGTCCTCTACCTCTAAAGAGCTTTAGATGGTTTGTATGGAAACCCCAACCTGTAACATCTAATTTATAATTTGCCCAAATTATTTGTTAAGTATATTTAATTATTAGGTTAAAGAGAATATTATGTGAGAAGTTGTGTTACATGTTATGTCAAAGTGGAAAATTTTACTTAGTGTTTTAATAATGTCCTTATAAGAGAACCTATGATTTAATGGGAGTTTGGGTTTGAAATTTTAGAATTATACTTCTTAGGAGTATATTAGAGGATTTGGGAAAAATTTCACGTCAATTAGATACGTAAAACTGATTTTTTTGGGAGATCTTTTCTGAAATATTTTGTTGGATGTTATAGATTATTTCTTTATGAACGTATAGGCGAAAATCTCATAGAAAACGGAGGTCCGAGCAAAAAGTTATGAATATTTTAAGTGTTGATAGTCAAAATGGGTACCTAGCCGGGTCAACCCAACCCAACCCAACTCGGGTTTTAACATAAGAAATTGGATTTTTGGCCCATTTTTCATGTCATTTGAGTCCAGAACTCACACACACACTAGAGGTGCGATTTTTCATACACATAGGCTTGATTCAACTCAAATCAAAGAGACATTACAAGATCTTTAAAAGATTTGATCATCAAGTAAGGTATAATCCATTTTTGCACTTGTTCTTGATTGACATTCTTGTTATATAGATTGCATGTTGAGATAGAGTTAGAGTTTCATATGAGTTTGATCTTAAGTGTATAAAATGAGTGCATTTTAGTAGTTATGGCTTGAAATGATCCTTAGATTCAAAAGATTCATGCAAGTTCATCATATGAACTTTGATTTGATTAAGTCAATGATTTGGGAGAGAATATAAATGATAAAATAAAAGTTGGATTTTGGTTGTTTATGTCAAATATGTTATATTAAGTTGAAATTCAGAAGTTGGAATAATTTGGAATCGACATGGTTTGAGAAAAATGTATGAAAATGAGAATTTTGACCTAAGAATGCATTGAAAGTGTGCAGATTTTGAAAAACTGTATAAAATCATAGAAAAATCCAAATGAGACGAGGTCAATTTTCTTAGTTAGATAATTGAGTTTAGTTTATTTCTTATTTATGATCAAGTCATGAATTCGAGTTTAAAATGGCCAAAACAGTTCTGCAAGCAGCAGCTGTACATAGAAATCTAAGTAAAGTGTTCAAATAGGATATGTGTATAACATGAGTTTCTTATATTGGTTGCTTATGAGATTTTGTGCATTTACTCTATGGGGTAATTAGGACATATTTTGATGTTTTGGAAGCATTCTAAGTGTGGTAGCTTGGACTTTCTTTGTGAGCTCATTTTGGAGCTTTTTGGTATTATACGGTTGCTCGGTGAGTTATATAGTTAATTGTTACATATTGATTTGAATATATATATATATATATATATATATATATATTGAGCATCAATGGTATGGTATATTATAGTGTGATTTGAATTTGGAATTCTATGATCTTAGCATCCTCTACGTAATTGTTCACTTGGTTT